AGAGAGAGAGAGAGAGAGAGAGAGAGAGAGAGAGAGAGAGAGAAAAGAACCAGAGCGTTTGTTGATGTGGTACTCTACGAGTACACGCTAGTAAGTGCTAGAGAGTAATCAAAGAGTTTTATGTGGAATAAATATTATTTTTATTGTATTTATTTAGCGTTCGAATTGAAATTCGAAACGATGCAATATTTTCGCCACAGACACATACACACACCGTGCGCTGTACTGCACTTCAGACTGGGCCGTATATGAGTGTGCAAAAGCGTTTTAGCGTAATGAATAACAGCATTACAGTGAGCGTGAGCGCTCGATCGCTTTCGCAAGAAGAAAGACACATTCGAGGTTCACGTTAAGCCAACAAAACGGCTTTAAACATTCCCAAGATTTAGTGTCGTTTTGTTAATGGCTTATCCTCTTCTCGGCGCGTATAAAACTTCTTCGCTTTTTTTCGTTCTCCGGTATATACATCATAGATCGTTTGGCATAGGGAATGTTATGTTTGTGTGCCTTTTGTATACATCATTTCTCTCTCGTCGATGCGCGAGATATGTTTTCTGATACTTCTTGCAACACTTTGTCGCCGTCGTTGCCGTTGTTGTTATTTTTTTTTCTTCGTTCGGCATCGCGGCATTCCACGCTCGTTGCCGATTCTGCTGTTGTTGCGTTGTTTTGTTATGTTTTCGGTTAAACATATAAACCCACTTAAGAGATTTATGAAATTATAATTCATGTTCGTTGATCGTTTTTAATTTAAAGAAGAAGGAAAAAAGAGCGACGAGCAGAGAGTGATGCATACCGTTGAAAATGCAGTACAACATCGATTTATATGAATGCAATATTCATGTAACTGGAAAAAGCAGATGTGATTTCGTTTATTGCAATTATGATTTTTTTTCCTCCATCAAATTTGAGTACTAATCAGCCGCACACCATACGAATCAATGCGAACAGGCAGGCGGGCACGAGCATCGCGATTCAAAATTAGAAATGCTAAAATGTTCCAATGTAAATGACTTTTGCAGCGCTCGTGCGATCAAATGCAATGAACGAATGCGAGAAAAGTCAAGCGCATCATAAATTTAATCGAATTCAAACATAAAATGCTACTTCAAAAATGAATATCCAGAAATGTTTTTTGTAAAATAACGAGTGTATCCGCTGTAAAACTAACTGCAAATCGTTATCAACAATGCAACACTGCAGCCGCCGAAATACGGTTACCATACATAACAGCACAATGTTGCGCATTTATACCCGATTTGCATTTGAAGCTTGCGAGAGAGATAGAGAGTGTGTCTATGTGATTTTTTTCTTCATTTGGAGGGACTTTAATAAACACGGCTACGAACTGTGTGAGATTTGCTTGAATCGGGCGCAATGCAGCGCTTAAAAGTCTCCGGCTGGTTTATGTAGGGTAAACGACAAATAAATCGTATTTTCAATTATATTTCCACAAATCGTAAATCATGCATGAGTCCAAAATGACAGCCATTCATATATTCACTTCCACATTTTGCCGATGCACGTCATGCAATATTTTGTGGCATTCATTATTCAACTCACTCGCACTCGTTTGTTCGCTCTTTCCAGTTCTTTCTGTCACATTCATTCACTCTATATACGTCTCACTCTCTATCGTTCTCGACGAGAACTCTCGCTCATGCTCTTTCTCTCATGCCCGCTCATACCGTCCCTCGGTCAGCCTAGTTACCGTTTGAATTTCGGCAATTTCGTGGAAATATGCTGCTTTAATTGAACAATGAAAGAGAGTTAAAATTTTTTGACTGAAGCGACTACCAATCCACAAATCTTTGCAATGCAATTTCAATGTTTTGTAAGCCACATAC